CTTTCTTTCTTTCTTTCTTTCTTTCTTTCTTTCTTTCTTTCTTTCTTTCTTTCTTTCTTTCTTTCTTTCTCTCTCTCTCTCTCTCTCTCCCCCCCCCCCATGAGGACACCCCTGCTTTGCATTTCCTTCATCTCTTCCAGACACTGCGATACCTCGCCAGCCACCAGATTTTCCCCCACCCTCCAGCACCACACGTCTTACCTCGTAATGAGCCACGCGTTGCGATTCCGATATTAGCTGAGCGCTGCATACCCTACAGTAACTTTCTGTAAATAATTCCTGATCGATCTCCGATGACTTCATCTGCTTACAAATAAAAGAAAAATGAAAAAAAAAATGATTGGGAGCATTACGATAACCTCCTTGGCACGTAACTGTTGCAGATATTAACTAGGGTTTCACACCAACCCATTAAAAGCTCTGAGCAAATACTTTTTTTGGGGGGGGGGGCTGTCAAATTAGAAAAAGTCAAAGTGGGCATAATAACTGAATCAGAGCATATAAGGAAAAAGAAATGCCTTTGCAATTATGTAGAAGTCAACTCCCTGAAGCCACAGCTGTCAGTGAGCCTTCAGAAGTCTCATCAATCTTGGGAGAACTTACAGAAAAGGACAAGTTAAAGTGCAAAAGCATTCAGCGGAGCAAAAGCAACAATGCATTTGAAGTTGAATGTTAAGTTTCATGTCAACCCACACACATTTCAAGATTTGGAAAGAAATGTATCTTGCCACTCAAACGTAACCAGAGGGAGACTCCATGTGATTTCTTTATGTCATCAAATCTTCCTTTCTCAGATGCTTCTTTGCCCTGTGGTTGGAGGTTTTTTTAATCTATTTTTTCCCCCCAAATTTATCTGGATGGGGATCCTGAGCTGAGTTGCTTTTGAAGGTCATGCAGGTTGTTAAAGTCTCAAAAAAGGGGGAGCCAGAATCAGGCAGCTAGTAGACTTCTGCTGAGGCCTAATGAACACCCATAGATTGCAGTTCCAAAACTTTATTGGGAGATTTTTCATGTTTGGAGGACAGAATAAGACAGAAAGCCCCAAAATGTCCTCTCCCTTCCCCCAAAACGGGATAAGTGCACAAGAAAAGTAAGGATGTGAATCATTTTTTAAATGAATGGTATTTATCATTCTACTTTTTAAAAATCTGAAATAAAACAAAAAAGATTGCTCTTTGCCTGCCTCCAAATTATCTTCCATGTTCATTCATTTAAAAATAGGTTTATTTGGTTGTAGATTCAAACAATATGTTGTGTTGAATGTTACTCTAGCCTTATTTTGACATGGATCTTTCTACCTGGATAAAATAGGATAAGCTGTTTATATGGTTTTGGTCTGCAGTGCCTTTGCTAAAGGAATTTTCCAAAATATATTGGGTTACAATACAACACAACACAACACAACACAATGCAAAACCTCACTCTCTTCCTTTGGGGTGGCATGGGGGGTTTCCTTCTGTTCATTCCTGCACAACCTCAGTGGCTATCAAGTTGGTTAACTGTCAAACTTAATTGAAATTCACTATTAAAGCCATTAAAGTCCAAAACTGAAAACAGATGAAAAATCTAAGCTCAAAGCAGAATGAAACAGAATCCACTTGGTTAAAGGCCAAGAACAAAGAAACCAAAACCTACTAGAAATCTTAAAATAAACCAACAGTTTGAATAACCCTAAGACTATGACACAAGTACTGCTGACCCCACGCAAACAGATGCAGCAGAAGTTAGGAATTTATTCCAAGCACCATCCCAGTTTGGGCTCTTGCAGTCTCTTCTATGGAAACAACTTGGCTTTTATTTATTTATATTTACTTATATTTCAAATTTGTCACTGCCCATCTCACTGCAGAGCAACTCTGGGCAGTTTACAATAAAAAGAAGAAATATTAGTTAAAATAGAATAAATATACATTACAAAAGACTTCCTATATAAATAATAAATATCTTAGATTCGGGGAGCGTCTTCAAGGGGCTAGCCACCCCCAGGGTTGGTTATATCCCCTCTTGCCCCACGTGAGCTGGCAGAGCCAGGTCTTAGCCCTTTCCAGAAGCCCAGGAGAGTAGGGGCCCACCTGACCTCTGGGGGAGAATATTCCATAGGGCGGGGGCCACAGCAGAGAAGGCTCTCCTCCTGGGTCCCACCAGTCAACATTCTTTTGCAGATGGGGTCTGCAACATACCTTCTCTGCCTGACCAGGTGGGACAGTTGATGTAATGGGGGTGAGACAGTCCCTCAGGTAACCCAGACCAATGCTATGTAGGGTTTTAAAGGTGACAACCAACACCTTGAATTGGACCTTTTGCTTCAGATGGAGCTGCATTAATCTCAACATCAAGGCCCCCTTTTCAATTCCCATTTCATCTCACCATGAGGGAAGCCCTCTTGCTAGGAAGATGATCTGACCTACACAGCTCATCCTGCCTCAGAAAAGAAGCCCTCTTCACTTGCAAACCTGATGGAAGGGCACAACGTCCAATTTAACCGTCGGCTGCCCCCAAACCTTTTGGAAGACGTTGCTCTATCAGGAAGAGCTGTATGAGATCTTCAAAGAGTAATAAATGCTTTGTTCCCAGAATGCTGCCAATGAAATACATGTCCCAATAAATAATGCATTTGCATTTTGGAGATTTAATTTTTCGAAGCTGAGGGTGTTGGAAGGTGGAGAAAAGGAACAAAGGGTTCTAAATAAGATTATAAAATGACTAGGGAGAAAGTGGTTGGGTCAAGGGGATGCGATTTTGCCCGTGCAATGCATCAGGGCAATTTTGGCCCACTGGATTTTTGTTGTTTTTTAGTTTTGTTTGTCAACTTAGTTTTAGGTAGGTTGGTTGGTTTTTATGGTCCTTGACTGAGTCATTGAAATTCCACAGCACTACTTCTCATGTTTCCTTTTTAAAAGAAAATAAGAGCACCGAGCCTTTGCTATGACCAATGACTCTTAAAGAAAAAAAAAAGTTCTCCAACCATATCATTGCTTTGATACCATGCCCCTGCAGCTCTTGAAGGTCAGAAAAAAAGGGGGGGTCAGCTTTCCTCCACCCCCATAAGCCACAAAAATGTAGCCTGCCCCTAGGATAACAGATCAACTGCTGTCACAGAGAAAGGAAGGTGCTGCCGGAACACATGGTTTCCTCATCTCAACCTCTGCTGGTCCATTATCCCAACAGAAGAGAAACTCTGTAGCTCAGGGTTGAACTGTGGAGTCCTTGGGGTTCTCTGAGCTTGGTTGTTCTCTTGCAGACGTTTCGTTACCCGGCTAGGTGACATCTTCAGTGCTAGAAGGGAGTGAAATTCCACAGCACTACTTCTCATGTTTCCTACATGAAATTCCACAGCACTACTTCTCATGTTTGCTCTCTGTTTATATACAGAGGGCAAGCTACTGTACATAAACAGAGAGTAAACCCCACTCCCATCTAGCACAGAAGATGTTACCCAGCGGGGTAACGAAACATCTGCTAGAAAACAATCAAGCTCAGAGAACCCCAAGGACTCCACGGTCACACATCCATCGATCCAGGGCTTCTCTGAAGCTTGCATGATTGGATATCTCCATCCCTGCCTCTACCTTAAGCAAAGCTGATAAGGAAGCGCTTTGCTTTGCTCACCTCCACCTTCCAAGGACCTAGAGAATTAACATCCATCAGCCCCCTCCTTGGCCGCTAGATCTGAAATACTCAGTTGAGTTCAGAACGTTTCCAAATGAAGCAAGTACTGAATCTTGCAAGCAGAAGGGGTCTGGAAGCACCTTTTCTAACAAATGTTATTAAAAGGCATAAACGTTCATGCTTATTTCGAGCTTTGCTTTGCTTTTCCCCTCTGTGCTTCTCTGCCTTAAGCCTCACAGTTGTGGATAATTGCTATACAGTATCAGGCTCTCAGGCAGTTGACTTAAACCGAAAATAATCATTTTCCCAGGCACAAATTGCCCAGAATCTTCTTAACTAATTGACTGAAGTGAAAGTTTAGCTGCAAAAATGTCAGCAACTGAACTATTTTCCGTTAGAACCAATTTATCTCCTAATACATTAGGGTGGGGCCTTCCATAATTTCTTTGTGATGGCTTTATTGTGAACAGGCAATTTTCAGTTGGTTGGTTTAATTGATAATGACTGTAGGTTTCTATTTCCAGAACCATCTCCTGAATCCTTATCAGTCTGAGAACAGATTCTTCTGGGTGGTTTTGCCTACTTCTGTCATATCACAGAAGTTCACTCACTGAAATAGAAACCCATACACACACTGAAACATAATTTGCCACTGAAAGCTTTCTGGAGCCAGCATCCCACTCTTTGTAACTTCTTTGCCTGTTGACCCAGCACCACCAGAGATAAATTGGACAATCGGAATAGAATAAAGCCTTAGCAGCTCAGCCATTCTTAAAAATATTGGGAAAATGGCATTTCTGGAAGGGATTTGCAAAAGCCAATCATCTCTGGAAAGTCTGCATCACTGAGATGAGTCTAGGTCAAGCCAGGGTGATATTCATACATACCTACCAAACATTTTCCCCTTACAGAGCTGCTGTCCAACTTGGTGCCTCTCTTGATTTTCAAGTTGAGATTTGGGACTAGATGTTCCACAGCACCTGGGAAAGTCAACTTTTCTCTCCAAAGTCAAACCCTTTAGCATTGGGCAAAGGGGAGAAATGAAAGATGGCAGTTGGGGGTCCCTCCATCTATGCCTTAGATAAAAATCTCCATTTTTTTCAGAAGCTGTTTTTAAAGAGGGGAGAGAGAAAGTACAATCTTTTTATTTATGTGTAGTTGCCAAATATATATCTCACCTTTCCTCCAGGGCCTCAACAAGGGATACATCATAAGTCTTCCTCCAGTTTTTCCCATAAAATCAACCCTATCGAGTAGGTTAGGTTGAAAAACAGTAACTGTCTCAAAATGCCTTCATGAATTTCTCTGGATAAGACAGGATTTGAACCTGGTTCTCTTGGGTTCTAGTCCAACTTCCTCATCCCTATGCTACACTAGTGCAATCCTGCAAGGCAGGAAAGTAACTGGGTTGTTGGCTGAGACCAACATCCCTGTTCCCCACAATTCACAAGCAGCCAAGCAGAGAGTTCCAAAAAGCTCTGTCAGGCATGAAGGAAATACACCCTGTTGCCTTGTTTGATGCATGCATCCATGTTTACTGATGTCTCGGTCCTGTAAGTGAAGACTTAATTGTGGAAGTGGTTTGTGAATGAACCAGATTGGAGCCATTTTTGTGTTTAAGTAAAGCCATCTTGTCCTGTAAATAGAGTCTTTGTACTAGAAGGAACAGCGTAAAGGAGACAGCAGGAAAACTG